AGTCATTTCACAATGATGGCTACCATTTCTAGGACGCAAAGAAATTTCTCTCTGGTCCCTGGACACATCACACCTTCTTTTTGTTTTTGTTGTTGTTGTTTCATTTTGCTTTTTTTTTGAGACAGGGTCTCGCTATGTAGTTCAAGCTGGCCTTGAACTCATGGTAATCCTCCTGCTTCAGGCTCCTGAGTGCTGGGATTATATTATTTGTCCATGCTTTCCTTAACCCTGGATGACTGCAGTTACTGTTCTAAAATCCCCAAGGAAACCCCTTAACAAAAGAAAGAAACCATGGGCCGGGGATTTAGCTCAGTGGTTTCGCCACCTGCTGCGAAAGCCCAAGGACCCGAGTTTGACCCCCGGTACCAAAAAACCAAAACAAACAAACAAAAAAATAGAGAAACCATGAGGGCAGCAGGTATTTCAAAATTTTTGTGTGTGTGGGTACTAGGGATCAAAGCCAGGGTCTCACGCATGCTAGGCAAATACTCTACCACAGAGCTATATCCCCATCCCTTATTTATATTTGTATTTGTTTATTTATATACTTTTTTCCAGTACTGGGGATCGAACTTAGGACCTTGAGCTTGCAAAGCAAGCGTGGCACCACTGAGCTAAATCCCCAGCCCTGTTTATTTATTTTTAAGACAACGTCTTGCTATGTTGTCCAGGCTGGTGCTGACCTTCTGGACTCAAACAATTCTCCTGTTTCATCCTCCCAAGTAGTTGGGATTACAGATGTGGACCAGCAAGCCCAGCCATATATGTTTTTATTAATCAAAGTTGGAATATTTAGCATACAGAGTGCTATCTTTGTTTTTTGTTGCTATAACAAAATACCTGAAGGCAGGTGATTTACTAAGAATAGTGCTTTATTTAGCTCATGTGTATGGTGGCTGGGAAGGTCCAAAAGCATCATGCCAGCACCTACCCTCTTTCCCCAAATATAAGACCTAGCTGGAAAATAATAAGTCTTGAAAACTAGAGATCAAAAATGCCAGGTGTAGGGGCCAGGAATTTAGCTCAGTGGTTCCACTGCCTGCCTTGCAAGCGCAAGGACCCAAGTTCGATCCCCAGTACAAAAAAAAAAAATGCCAGGTGTAGTCAGCCTATCTTTGCCTTACCTGCCATCACTACTCTCTTAATCCATGGCTAGCCTGTAAGGCAGGTAAGGTAGGAATAGGGTGACTGAGGCTGGCATTTTTCATCTCCAGTTTTCAAGGACGATGATTTTCCAGCTGGGTGTTATTTGCAGGGAAACACGGTAGGACCTTCTTGCTGCACCAAAACAAAGCACACAGCACCACAGAGTCAGAGCAAGCACGTGTCAGCACGGGTCTGTCCTCCTCTCCCTCCTCCTTTTTCTTCTTCTTTTTTTTTTTTCAGTACTGGGGATCAAACTCAGGACCTTGCGCTTGCACGGCAGGTGTGATGCCACTGAGCTACATCCCCAGCCCTTCTTCTTCTTTTTTGAATCTTTTTTTTAATTTATTTTTTTCCCTCTTCTTCTTTTTTTTTGGTTTTTTTTGTTGTTGTTTTTGTTTTCCTCTTCTTCTCTTTGATGGTAGTGAGGATTGAACTCAGGGCCTTTGCACGGAGCTATATCTCTAGTGCCTCCCCCTTTTCTCTCCCGGCCCCCCTTTTGTCTTTTTTGAGACAGGGTATTGCTAAGTTGCAGAGGTTGAGCTCAAATTTGTGATCCTCCTGCCTCAGCCTCCCAGAGTGCTAGCGTTACAGGGATGTGCCACCATCCCGACGATCTTCCTAATCCTCATGTCCTTCCCAAGGCCCCTCCCCCAATGCCGTCAGCCCAGGAATTTGGGGATTAAATTGGCAGCACATTCAAGCCATCGCAAGAAAAAGGTTTTCCACAGAATGGAACAGAAAATAGCACTAGATTTTGTAATTTGGGAAAGAACTCTAAAACGTTGTATTTACACAGGAGGGCATTGCTATGACTGAGCTCCAAAATGTCTCCCGGAAGTCTCAGGTGAGCAGAGCAGGCCCTTTGGAAGGGGACTGGATCATAGGGCTCTTACTTCATCCGTGGGTTACCGATGAGATCAGAACTTGAAGGCACTGGGCAGTGACCAACGAATGACCTGGGAACTGTGTCATAACCCTGCCCCCATTCGCCCTGGGGCTTTTGTTTGTTTCTTTGTTTTGAGACAAGGTCTTGCTTTGTAGCGCAGGCTGGCACTGAACTATGTAGTTCAGGCTGACATCGAACTCACAGCGATCCTCCTGCCTCAGCCTCCCAAGTGCTGGGACACAGGCCTGTGCCGCCACACCTGGCTGGCCCCACCCTCTCTGGCTCTCTCCCTGCTTTCTCTGCTTGTTGGCTGTCACGAAGTGAGAGGCTTCCTCTCCCGAGGCCTCTACCACGGCGCCTCTGCCCCACCACAGGCCTGAGGGCAGCGCAGCCTGTGGACAAGGACTGAAACCTCCGGAACCGTGAGCAGAACCCTTTCCTCTTCGAGGTTGTTCTTCTCGGGCCACAGAGATGCAAACCTGGCTAACAGAGAGACATGGAGGAGAAATCTAATCAGCCAGCATACGCCGAGGGAGGCTGACGTACACATTGCTATGCCAACATAAATTCCAATTCCGGATCAGCGTCCAGGTCTGAAAGGCAAGCAGCTGAAAGCAGTATTTTATCTGCTGAAACCAAGAAGGGCAGATTTATTTGCAGGGAAGATCATTTCTATGACTAAGGCATTTTTCTAAGCAGCACTTGACATGGAGGAATTTCAGCTGGTCCTTTTTTTTTTTTTTTTAAAAGTCTTAAAAACCGATTCTGAGGAACAGGGTGAGGAACACTCCCAATTCGGTGACATCATCACTCTACACAGAACCAATCAGAAAAGTGCGACTTTCAGTCCTTCATTTGAATGTGGTGCTGTTCACAGGACCAATCAGAAGATGCTGTTTTCAATCCTTCATTTGCATATGGGCACAGCCAATCAAAAGACACCCTTCCTGATCCTTCATTTACATACAGCAGGAAAGCAAGGGAGCTTTTCCACAGCAGTTTGCACAAGGTTAAGAGGCAAAGTGATGGGACCGCTATCCCAATGTCTTATTTGTATGAGAGGGAGAAAACAAAGACCCCTTTCCCTTATGCTGGGTCTCCTCTCTGCAGAGTGCACTTTTCCACCTTCAGTAATGTTCACCCTCGCTGCCTTTTCTGTGTGCCCTGTCCAGTTCTTTGTTTGGGACCCCAACGGGGGAGAGAAGCTGCAGGGACCCTGCACACAGGGACCCATGGGGGCCAGGCTCAGCATGTCTGCCTGGCTAGGGGACAGCTTTCCACCCGGCTCTCTCCTCCCTCTGATCCAGCCTCCAGGTGATTTTTTCCTGAGGCTGTGTTGGTCCAGAATACCACCGGTGCTCCAATCTATCCTGACTTCTCAGCTTTGCAATCCAGCTACTCTGGATCTTCAATTTGTCCTTCACCTTTGAAAGCCTACTTTCTGGATGCTCTCCTTATTTGATTTTAATTTCATTGTATCAGTAGATCCTGTGATCAAATGGCTCAAAAATAAAACATCGTACATGGTGGCCACACCTGTAGTGCCAGGAGGCTGAGGCAAGAGGATTCCTGAGAGTTTGAGGCCAGCCTGAGCTCCATACTGAGTTCAAGGCCAGCCTGAATTACATAGGGAGACCCTATCGCAAAAAAACAAAGTATCCAGGAGAAAGTAGAAAGTGTCTTCATTTACCCCAGAGGAGAACTTTGATGTCTGTATTAGTCTTCCTCCTTAACAAAGTATTGTAAAGTGGATGGCTTAAAAACCTGGAATATAATATAGCTGTCTCGTAGCTGTGGAGAACGGAGCCTGAAACTGAGATGTTGGTGGCACGAAGTCCCCCTGAACCCCGTGGGGCTCCTCTCACTTCTTCCTAGCTTTGGAGCACACTGCCATCTCTGCCTTTGTCACCACAAGGCCCCTCTTTCTGTGTCTCTGTCTTTTCGTCAAACACCAGTCACACTGGATTAGTGAGACCTCATTTTAACTAATGACAGCCTCGATGGTCCTATTTCCCCAAAAGTGCACATTTTGAGCTCCTCGGGCTTGGGACTAAAATGTACCTTTTTTTAGGGGCCCACAACTGAGCTCATAACTCAGGCCCCGGACTTCCCTGCTCCTTTTAGGTAGGGAACAATCGTGGGGTCACTGTGCGTTATCCTTGATTTAGAAATCAGCCTGTCCAGTCCCTGACATTTATCAGCTCTGCCAGCTGCTGTCCATGGGCAGCTGGGCCAGGGGTCAGGGCTGCCTCTCCGCAGGAAGAGTGAGGCTGGAGGCTTCTGCTGCTCCATGCCCTGACCTCCCTGTGCCCAGCAGTTGAGGTGCCCAGGTGGGGGCATGGGCCTGGGCTGGCCTGGCTGCTCTGGGCTCTCCAGACCTGCTATTGGTGTCCTCTTCCCCCGTTATTTCTGGAGTTTCTCTGGTGATTTCTACTCTGGATTTTCTAATTGTAGTCAGTATCATTTTGAGAACCAGCTGGGCATGGTGGCCCATGCCAGTAATCTCAGTAGTCTTAGAGGCTGAGGTAGGAGGATCACAAGATTGAGCCCAGCCTGGGAAATTTAGAGACTTAGCAAGACTCTGTCTCAATATGAGTTTTAAAAAGGCCTGGGGGTAAGCTCAGTGGTGCAATGCAAGGCCCTGGGTTCAAGCCCCAGTACTGGGGTGGGGTGGGGTGTTGTACTTCCAAAACGAGGGAGTGAACTTTGTTTTTAGAACAGTTTTAGATAGATATACAAGAAACGTGTAAAAGAGTGAAGAGAATTCCAATACACCGGTTTGCTTTCATTTATATCTCCCACTAGTATGGTTCATTTGTTACAATTAAGAGCCAATATTAGGGTACAAGGACCCAAAGATAAATGTAAATGTATTGTATACCTAAAATGTACCAATAAAAGAATTTAAGAAAAAAAAAAAAGAGCGAATATTAGTACCTTGTATTGTTGGTACATGTTTTATACTTACGTCCCAACACAGAGCCCAGATTTCCTCCGTTTTCTCCCAACGTCCTTTGCTTCTCCTGGACCTAGGCCCGGACCCCACAACTGTCTCACTGTGTCCCCCTGCTGGTGCAGTTCCTCACTCTCTTTTTGAAGCTCTGACAGTTTGTAGGCCAGTCAGTTATTCTGTAGAATGTTCTTCTCCTGGGCTTTGATGGTTTCCTCACAGTTAGACTGAATTGTGGTTTTTAGGGTGCGTGGTACAGAGCAAAATATACACAGTATTTGGTTTTTGACCCCAATTCCTAGCACAGAGCTCCCTACACCCTTGGGTTTCCTGAGTGATGGAAGCATGTGTGGTTATAGCACCTTTCAACCACCCCGAGTGCCTGCCGCGTGCACTGATGGGCTTCTGGGTAGACACAGGGTGGGACTGGTGGCCAGAATCAGCCGAGGCAGTCTCAGGGAGGGAGGAGGGCTGCACGACTGCGACCACCACAGCCACATAATTATGCCTATGTAGTAAAACCCCAATAAAACCCCCTCACGGTGAGGTTCAGGGAGCTTCCCGGCTGGTCACCCCATCACCGCCTCTGTTACTGGGTGATGATATTCCTGGGCGATGGCGAGCAAGTTAGATTTCTAGGTTCTCCTGTGCGACCAGCAGCGCTGAAGGCACTGGGTTTAAGAATTTAAAACCCTGCGCTGGGTCCAGGGTGCAAGAGTCTTCCAGAGCATGACCGACAATGTGATCAACAGGGTGCTGAGTCGGGTCAGCTGTCTCTACTGCGCATGTCCTTTCCCGTAATTGCATGTATGAGATGCAGTCCACAGCAATGGACTATATTAATAAGCTCCGGGTGAAGGGTGACGGGGCACACCAGCAGGTCTGGCATTTAAGAGTTCAGTGGGCCAGAGGTCCGTTTCCTTATCTCTGTCCCTAGATGGTAGGCCCAAGCCAGGTTCGGGCAAGTAGGCGGGGAGCAGTCTCATCGCCCGGCTGTACTATCCACACGACTGGTAATAGCAAGTAACGGTCTGAGTAGCACCGGTCCTGCCGGAGAAGGGGGCTTCACAACGCCTAACGGGCAGGGGAGAGCTGCGGGAGGAGACCCCACTCGGGGCGGCAGTTTTTGCTGGCTGAGCCCTTAGTGGGGTCTCGCTTGGTCCCGAATTGGTCTCTGAACTAAACTATTGGACAGCCTGCCGGTGTCAAAGAGAAGGCCCTCACTTTGCTAAGTGGGGATAGAGGGAAAGAGGAGACCCTGACCCAGTCCAGGCCCCCGAAGCCCGGGCAGCCCAGGGGGACACAGGCGGGGGGTCGCGCGGTGCAGGGCGCCCGCTGCCCGCCAGGGGGCGCAGCGCGAGGGACGCAGCGAAGCCTCGGAGGCTCCGAAGTAAGTCGGGAGGCCGCGAGCCGAGGCTTCGGGCCTTGTTGTGGGGCTGGGGGCCGAGGGCCCGGGATCGAGTCGGGTACTGGGTCGGGCCGGGGCCGCAGCCGGAAAGGCCGGGAGGCACCTCGGGCCCGCGGAAGAGGGGGCTTCCGTTGGGGCAGCGTCGGTGCTCTCGCTCCTCCCCAAGGGCACACCCCCCCGCGCGCGCTGGTCAGTGCGCATGCGCGGCCCCGCCCCTGTGGTCACAGCGAAAAGTCGAAGCTGCTGCGGAGCAGGGAGAAAATAATCCCCTCAGTAAGGACAAACCAGGGAAAAATACTGTGCCACGTGTGTCACAAATAAAGAGTTAATAATCCCACTGTGTAAGTGACCCTTAAAGATTGAGGGAGCCAAAGATGAAAAATCCATTTGAAAGAGAGGCAGAAGACGCGATCAGCACAAAAATGATAAAATACTGGGCCTAAAACGAATGGAAAGATGTTCCGTTTCTGTTCTGATAGGAGAGGAATCACACAGTACTTTGAGATACTGCTTTTGATATACTCAGACTGCAAAGAAGGCTGAAGCAGGAAGACCGCTGGGGGAAGCAGGCGCTGTGCTGTGTGCGGGTGGGGATGAGGGGGAACAGCCCGATCGAGGGGAGCCTGGCAACCTCTAACCAGACTTCCTGTGCGTCTCCCTTCCCCCGTTTCCTTCAGTGCGGAGAACTTACCTTGAAGAAACCCCTACCCTCGTAGGACGGTGTATGTGTGTCCAAGGTCGCAGGGTGCAGGTGTGTGGTTGGATGGCAGCGTTTGGATTGGCTGAGCGCCCTCCTGCGCACGCGCTGCGCCACACCAGGCTGCCTTGGGGGGTTGTGAAACAGAAAGATCTCTGTGGGCTGAATGATTTCCAGGATATACTGATTAGCGTGTGTGGAGGGGAAGGCTAGATAACAGTACTATCGTACGTACGCTATTTTGTGTACAAGAGGAGGGAGTAGTAAAATATTCAAGCATCTTTTTTTTTTTTTTCCGCAAGAGAAAAGAAACCCAGGAAGAATGAAGTAGAAGTTAACAAGTTGGTTATGGGGGGGGGGGGTACAGATAGGGTGAAAGTCTAAGAGGAAATGATAGTTCTCCAGGAATGCGTTGCTTTGGGTAGTTTGGACTGGTAGAAACATCTGAATGTTTTAATGTTTAAAAAATAAAATTAAACCAGGCATGGAGGCAAGTGTCTGTGGTCCTAGCTACTCAGCAAGCTGAAGCAGGAGGACCCCTTGAGTCCAGAAGTTGGAGACCAGCCTTGTCTCAAAAGAATAAAAAGATAAGTAAAATAAAGTACAATAAAATCAAATTAAATCAGTAGAGGGTGAAATTTCTAAAACTGAATATAAACAGAAGTGAAAAATGAACTGACCTGTATAGTAAATTAACTAGAAAAAGGAACCCGAATAGCTTTGATGCTCTCTCTCTGACTTTATACCTTCCGTGTGTAAACAGGCAAACAGAACTGGAGGAAATGTGAGCCTCACTCAGTTGGCAGTGATTGGCGTGGTGATTCTTCCTCCAGAGGATTGTGACATTGATGATGCCCAAAGCCAGCTGTGCCGAGTTAACCCCACAACTGGCTCCTTTATAGAAGTGAGTCCAGCTGAAGCCTATGTGCCAAGGTCAGAATAACTCACACCCAAATTCCATTCCCACAACTAAAACCTGACTAGGACAATGTTCTAATTACAACCATATATTTTGTCTATTCCGTTCCTAATTCAAAAATGTTTTGTCTTGTCCTTTATGAGCCTTGTTTACATTAATTTCCATAGAAACTGCACACTGCCTTTACCCCAAGTGATTGTGAATAAAAGTCTGTCTGGGACTGGCCAGGGCCTTTGTGGGCTGCACCTGCACTTGTCGTCCTGGCCCCGCTATCTCTCCTAGCTCTGTCTCAGTGTATTTTTTCTCAGGCCTGCGTCTCACACTGGCCAGGAGGGGACTAGAATCTGGCTGCAGGGGTGTCTGGTTTCCAGTTCTGAAAGTCTTCCTGTGTGTGGCGGGTTGGAGGAGATCAGTAAAGACCAGCTGTTGCTGGGTGCCAAGGTTCTCTCGATGACAAAGGGGAAACCAACAAGGAACAGGGACGGGAGGCGGAAGGGTGTGCACTTGGGCGAGGAGCCTTTGGCTTTGAGAGTCCATCTGACAGCTCTGCCTGCTGTGAGGCCCGGAGCGGGTGCCCCTCGCCCGTGTGGTATCTGGGTGACACTCATCCCTTAATCCTGGTGCCCTTGAGCCCAGCATTGCACCATGAATCAGTTCCAGTTTCACACACTCTAGATCCAGCCCCCTCTGAAAAGCCCCAGCTATGACCATGTGAGGCTTTGGGGACATCTACACACAGCCATGACAAAGGTATACAATGTGTGTTTCATTTGCAACTAAAAATGTAGATAAAGCCACAAAATCATTACATTTTTAGAATTGGAAGAGACTTTCAAGATGTTCATCTAATCTAAAATGTAACCATTTAAAAATTATAAGTACTAGAAAATATTACAATTTGGAAAGTTGAAGATGGCTTTATAGGCATAAAATTAACGGTAAAAGTCAGGAAAGAAAAAACTTGAGAGGTTAATTAAAAATTTAAAATGCGTCGAATCATTGTAAGCTAAATTAAACCAAATGATAAATTGGGATAAAAATTTGCCACATATATGACAGCCTAAGGATTAATACGCCTACTATAGAAGGATCCTATGTAAATAAGAAATAAAAATACTAGTATCAAAATCAGTGTTAATTCATAGAAGAAAACATAGCCAAGAAAACGATTGAAAAAATCAGTTTTCCTAGCAATCCAGATTTAAAAAAGCAACCCTAACATTTTATTAAAGAGAGCATTTGGGAACTGGGGGTGTAGCTCAATGGTAGAATGTTGCTTAGTGTATGCCAGGGGCTCTGGTTCAAATCCCTGCGATGGCAGGGTCGAGCAGAGAGATTAAGAGATTTCATTTTTCATTAATCAAAATAAAGAATTAAACATATGTAGCTCTTGGTATTGGCAAGGGTGTGATAAAATAAATTCTCAGTCTTCTATCAGATGATTTAAACTGGGTGTGGTGGCGAAAGCCAGTAATCCCAGCCCTCCAAGGCTGAGGCAGGAGGATAGCTTCTGACCAGATAGAAGCCAGCCCCGGCTACTTGGTGAGTTCAAGGTCAGCCTGAACTACAATGCGAGATCCCGTCTCAGAAAAACAAAAACAAAATCAAAAAGCAAACAAAGGTCCACCAGCAAACAATCTCCACACAGTTGAAGCACCTCCAGTGCACACCCTCTCTCGGGGCCTTCTCCCTCCTCCATTCAGCAAGCCCTCTGCCAACTTCGCTGCGGGCCAAGGAACAGACCCAGCTCCTGCCTCGGAGGGTTCAGGTGCCCAGGGAGGGCAGGAAAACCTCAGCCGGCCACTCCTCACGGAGGGAGGCGACGCTGGAGGTCTGAAGCCAGCCCTGAAGGGGAGGTAGGGGTCCTGGGGTGGGGGTGCGGAACGCGGGCCAGCGGCCGGAGGCGGCTGTGCCAGAGTCCCAGCCCGGTGGCCGGAGGCGGCCCAGGCACCTCCTGAGACGACTGGGGTGCGCAGGGCTGGGGGCTGCACCCAGGGGACCCCGACGCGGCCCTTTCCCGAGACACGATCTGGCCCGGCTCTGACGCCGGCTGCCATCTGCGCTGCTGCCCTGGGCGCGGACGCCCCCCTCTGGCGGGCGGACCCTCTGGGGGCAGAGGCCAGGGCTGGGCCTGCAGGTACGCGGG